CCTTTCTTCATAGGAGAGGTGTTCCATCCCCCTGATCATTTTTGTGGCCCTCTTCTGGACCCAATCCAACAGGTCCATGTCTTTGTAATGCTGAGGGCTCCAGAGCTGGATGCAGTACTCCAGGTGGGGTCTCACCAGAGCAGAGGAGAGGGGCAGAATCACCTCCCCCGACCTGCTGGCCACGCTGCTTTTGATGCAGCCCAGGATACGATTGGCCTTCTGGGCTGCGAGTGCACATTGCTGGCTCATGTCCAGCTTTTCATCCACCAGTACCCCCAAGTCCTTCTCGGCAGGGCTGCTCTCAATCCCTTCATCCCCCAGGCTGTATTGACACTCGGGGTTGCCTCAACCCAAGTGCAGGACCTTGCACTTGGAGCGTGGCAACTGGGAGCAGGATGTTTCCAACTGAACAGTTCTCCTGGACTTAACAGCCCATTTCTTGCACAAGTCTGAGTGCCTGTGGAAAAGAACAGGCTACTTCGAATTACTCACACGGTGGAAACTTGAGCAGCAGCCTCTCTTTCTCACACGCACCTCAGACCCAGCAGGCAGGGAGCTTATGAGTACACCTACAAGGCAGTGCTGGACACATGGCTGTACTACCTGCATTTATGACTGTGTGACAGAGGTCAGACTGTTCCATATCACCTTTTCCTGCCATTGGAAGGTATATTGTTTACATGGCCTGAAACCTTGGCTTCCACTGGTGTAAAGGTGGGGAAAAAAAATAATAATAATTTTTGTAGCAAAACGGTATACACTTCCCTTTGAAAAGGAGTATTTGCTGTGACACAAAGAAGGCCAGAAGGATGAATTTGGGAGCTTGTTCAGAAGCAGCAGGAATGCAGAAGGGGGCGAGTAAGCATCCAGTCCATCACCCACACATACGGGATTTCATCTCGCCCTCACTGAACTCTGCTGAGGTGAAGAGTTGACTAGAGAAACATACTGGACAAGCTACAACCCTGTTCCATGTAATGGGTTTGACACAGTACTTGCTGACCATGTTTTATCCAGTTAAAGAGGCTCCTGGGACTGATGCACAATTTCTTTTAAAGATAAACATCCTCTCAACATTTCCTTTTCTTTGGAAAAATTCCTGTAAGTTTTATGTCTTGAAGCTGAGCTCACATAATAGGAAATCATATATAATATAGTGTAATTAAAACCTTCCTATAAGGACACAGCAACTCCACCATTACACACTATTCAACAAACTCTATCATGTGGTAGATTAGACAACCCACAGTGTGGGTTGTCAGCCTGTGCATTACACATGGTAATCCCAGTAAAAGCAACGAGCATGGCACTTAATGAGAACACGCTTTGTTCATACATACTCCCTCCCAAGTGCTGATCACAATAATGTTTAAGTTTCATGTTTACTTGCTCAAAAAAAAAAAAAAAAAAAATTATTGAATCAGCATGCATTCCCTTGTGGCCCATTTTGTAATTGCTCCACTTGCTCTGAGATCATCTCAATTTAGTTGAGTAATCTGAT